AAAAAAAAAAAAAAAGGGTAACATGTTTAGCAATTACTTGCTGCAGCATTTGCAACAGAGGAATCCTTCCTGGTTGAGTAAGCAAGGGGTAACACTTTTGGTGCTTGAAATTGTGAACTACCGCCTTCTTCCACTCTACAGGTCATCTTCCACCCATTTCCTTTGGAAGATATAATCTTATTTACATAAATGGCAATGCTTTTGAATGTGATATAATAATAACTTCTAATATTGTTCTTCTGGATATATATGTTCAAGCCTCTTGCTTTCTTGTCTCATTTACATCAGCGATCCTCAATGAGCTGTTTTGTATTTGTTCAAGACATATTCTCTTGCTGTTAAGTGCTTCAGCTTTAAATCTATCTTTTAGATGGTAGAACTGAACTTTTTTCCATTCACTATATTGATAGCTTGAGATAGCTATAATATTTTTCTGCAGGTACCAGGGAAAATGCAAAACCTTGATGTATGATGTTACAAAAATAATTTCCACATTAAAAGGGAAACGTGGAGATCATCGTGTCTTTAGGTTGGCTGAGAACTTGTGTATGAATCTAATTTTATCATTGAGAGATTTCTTCTCAGTGAAAAGGGATGGAAAGGTGGGTACCACTATCTGAACTTTTATTCTCTTGTTTATTTAATGGCTGAATATAGATAAAAAATTATGTTTGTTTTTGCAGGGTCCCACGGAATTTACAGAAACTTTGAACCGAATAACAATAATCACTCTTGCCATAACCATTAAAACACGTGGAATTGCAGATGCTGATCATTTACCTTACCTTCAAGCTATGTTGGAACAGATAATGGCAACTAGCAATCATACATGGTCGGAGAAAACGCTACGCTATTTCCCTTCTCTTCTTCGTGATGCCTTGGTTGGGCACATGGATAAGAGGGGCATGGCAATTCAAGCCTGGCAACAGGTTCATTATTGTACTTCTTTTAGTTATATATCTTTATATTTTTTGTTCTTTGTTCCCATTATGATTAGTTTTTCCTCTGCTTTTTTTGGAATAAGGTCGAAAAGATATACTACCTTGTTGTCACATGTTCAATTTAGCCTCTAAAATTTGTTGTTGTTATTATTATTATTTGAAAATACTGAAACTACCCTCTGGCTCTCCAACATTCTATTGGGTTTAGTGGAACCACTAACATATTGGTGCACTGCCCCACCTCTTCATTTTAGGGAATAAATATTCCATTGTCAAGGATTTACTATTTATTCCTGTTGTAGTATCCTTACATTACTACTTTTTTAAGTAATCCTAGTTTAATGTCTATCATTATATGTTATTATAAATAAAAAAAGAGTTAAATTAACTTGTGCCGTAAGGGCATAGGTTAAGGGTGCATTTATCGCACCTTTTTGTAATTAATTTGTATTGAAAAATTAAAAAATAACTTTAATTTTATTAATTGTCCAATTTAAAGTATGCATGTGGGTGGCATTACTGATAAAAATGAGGTCAGCTTTTTGTATTTTTTTTATAGAAATTAAATGCAAAAGGGTGCAAGGTTAGACAAACCCTTTTTAAAAATATCAGTTATTGTTTACAATTAACAGTTATGTACAGAAAATTGTGGACACAAGGAATGTTTAATCCAATCCAATAAAGGTGGTTGCCCAAAAATATCTAATAAAGGGGAGAATTGCATCACAGAAAATAGGTTACTGGTCTAGTTAAATCCATTTGAATCTGAGTGGCTAAATTGAACTTTTCAAACAAGTTATAATTTATACCTCTATCCCCAACTCCATGTATCTCTGCAATTTTACTCATACTGGGTATGGGTAAGACCCATGGGCTGGGTAAGGGTAAAAAAATTTACTGCAGTTTTTGCATATGGTTAAAAATGTTTCTATTGTGAAAAAAAAAAAAAAAAGCATTCCTCAGATCCAGCTGGTACATTTGCCAATGGTGAGTAGTTGTGAGAGAGATGAGTGACGTAATAGAAGCAAGTTTAGAAACAGGTGAATAGGTATGTAAAAGTCAACACCATAAACTTGTGCATAACCTTTGCCCATCAAACAAGCCTTCAATCTCATGAAGGATCTATCAGAATTTACTGTGATAGTAGAGACCCATTCGCAGCTTCTTGTGGCCTAATATTCTAGCTTAGATGCCTTAACATAGAGTTGGACCCAGTCACCCAGGTTGTTTGTTGTTTATCAGCTCTTCCAGGAAGTTCGTGAGAGACTTGTTAGCTTAATTCTTTCAAAGAGGGTTATACATTAGGAGGAGGGTTTAAGTGATGGTGTTAATTCCATGTTGGCTTAGTTTGAGGTTTTTGTGGCCTCCTGTTCTCTCCAACAATTATCAGTTGGTTTTAGGTTACATGCCCTTAACATTATTGTTTTTGTTCTTTTCTTTACTTTACCAATTAATATGGCTGATTTGTTATTTTTGGTCCTGATTTCTTAATATTTAAATAAGCTAGTAACATTTATCATTTTGCAGGCAGAAACAACAGTGATTAACCAATGCACTCAACTTCTCTCACCATCTTCTGATCCTAATTATGTTATGACCTATATAAGTCATAGTTTTCCTCAACACCGGCACTATCTATGTGCTGGGGCATGGATACTGATGATGCAGGGCCACCCTGAAAGCATTAACAGCACAAACCTGGTAGGTAGTAGGTTTCTTTGACTTGGGTAAGCAATATCATTTGATTTGGAATCATGTTGTCATCAGATTTTTATCTTCTGTGCAGTTTATCTTTTAATAAGAAAGGTTCAGTTAAATTTTTTAAAGTAAAAGTTTTTTCTTCAAATGGAGGTCAGGCACGAGTTTTGAGAGAATTTTCCCCAGAAGAAGTAACTGCTAATATATACACAATGGTGGATGTTTTACTTCATCACATTCATGTGGAGATTCAGCATGGGCATCTCTTGCAGGTTTTTTGCTTAGTTTTTCATTTTAGTTTTAATGACAATATTGTGTTGCCATTGTTAAGCATTTCATCTGTCTTTTTGCAGGAACTTGTTTTAAAAACCTGTGCAAACCTTGTATTTTTTGTTTGGACGCATGAGTTGATTCCTTTGGATATTCTGCTATTGGCACTCATGGACCGGGATGATGATCCACATGCTTTACGGATTTTGGTATGCTCTTCCAGGAAATAATGCCTTTTTCTTCATATTATTCTTTTTATACATTCTTTATATAAAATGCCATTTAATATATTGCTTATTTTAATTCTTTTTCTACTTCAATTTTCTAAAGTTGAGGATAATTTGTCCATCTTAATATTTTCTGGTAAGGGCTATGGTAATAGCATAAAAGTTTTCTTGCTTAGTTTATGAATGGCAAAATGCAATGGTAAGGACATCAACTGACCGATGGATTTTGTTTGGTGATCTCACATGCACTAATGTCATTAGCTCCATTTTTTACTCATCCATTCTGGCACACTGCATCATTCAAATCATGTGAATCATGGTTATTTGGGAATTAGTTAATTTTTTCTTTTTCTTTTTTTTTTTTTTTTTTTTTTTTAGAAAAAGGGAATTAGTTAAATTTTTATAAAAAAGTGGGACACACCTGTCTCTGGCAGGAATTTTCCCTCCATGGACAGGCCATGGTAAGGAAAATGGTTAACAAATAAAAAAATTGTCATGTCATCACTAATCACTAATGGCCATGTGGCAGGCCATGTTGTGTTGGTTTCATAAATGGGGCTAACAATCTTACTCAAACAGGTAAGGTCACCTAGCAAAATCCATCAAATGTGACCTTATTTAACATGGTGACCATAATTGAGCAAATGGAGGTGGTGGCCTTATTAGAGATTTGAGAATTGAAAATTTTGTGATAGTTCATGTCCTTATCATACAATGTTGCATTCTATTAACTGTATATGAGTATCAAACCTAAAACCAATTGGCAATGGAGTAGCCCATATTTATTAAAGTTCACAGGTTTGTCTAATTCACTGATGTGGGATTTTGCCACTTTTAACATACCCTTCACCTGCAGACCCACTGGCCTGTTACATGGACTCAACCATTGTAGCGTCCACTGACCACCCTTTGTTTCATACCTAAACAGGCTTGCAGCAACCACCCTAGGGATTGCGCACACAACAAACCATTAAACACTTAATGGGCTAACAGTCCTTGGGCTATGATACCAATTGGTTTTGATTTCGATTCTATTCATTTGATCTTGTCGTACAGATTTTGAAATAATCAATCATTATCCCCGTTGAATTTTTCTAGAAGTTATTTCTTTAAGATGCAAAAAGGAAAAGATCATTTCCTTCTAAATTAGGGCATGTTGCCAACTTGTTTATCATTAACATATCAATGGTCTAACAAGTAACAACTTAGTAATTTCGTTGCAGATATGTTTACTTGAAAGGCAAGAGCTTCAACAAAGGGTGAATGTATATTGTATGAACCGTGGCCCCCCTGAGCATTGGCTTTTCACTGGAGTTCTCAAGCGTGCTGAGCTGCAAAAGGCCCTTGGGAATCATCTCTCTTGGAAGGAGAGGTACTTTACTTTTTTTAATCAGAACTCTCCTAATCATAGTCATTGCAAAGTTATTTATTTGATGTCTCAGCTTTCTGGTTTAACAATTATATCTTTTAGAGTGAAATTAGAACTGGAAAATGGGTCAAACAAGTCAGGTAAGTTCAGGTCATGGATCAAAGGCTGGAATGACCTGAGCTTGCAAGACCTGGTTGCCTTGATTGCCTGTTTGCCAGGTCTAAGTGGAATATATGATATCTGAAGCCTCAGTGGAGTATGTTGGACAGAGGGATATAAGAAGATACTACCAATTCTTTTTTTTTTTTTTTTGGCTATGCATATCCTTATTTCTTCAATTTCAGACAACCAACTCAAGTCAGCTAAAATCTTAACTCCACATTAGTTTTATGTGATGACATAATTTTGTGCAATTTTTCAGTCCACAAGAGTGCTATTTTCTCCTAGATCATAGAAATGGCTCATGAAGACTTCTAAAACAACCTTTAAGGTGGTGGAGACAAGAAAGTTAACTTCGGTAACAGTTGTGCTAGAAAGATTAGGCTTATGTTATAACCTCCATTAGAACTTGAATTGAGCAGATGTGAAGTTGAAGAAACCATGCCATACAGCATAAGTGATAAATAACTAAGAGCTATAAAGAGTTTTGAAATACTGCTAATCTAATATTCTCTAATGAAGATTCCTATTAAAAAATAGGTTAGCCATTTGATCTTATGATATTATATTCTTCTTGGTTATGTTCTGTTGTCTTTTTCCCTTGTCTTTTAGGGGTGGCTAAATGTTGGGGATTCTAACATATGATGAATGCCACACACAACTGAAGCAAAGGATCAATATGGAAATTGAATGTGCAATATAATTGACACACCAATTTATGTGGAAAACCCCAAGATGGGAAAAAATCGTGGAGAATGCAAGAATCCACTATAATCAAGCAAGAGTACATCAATTTGGGAGGCAATCCCTTATCAATGGATGCCCAAATGATCTAAGTCACTATTGGTGATGAACACTCTCACAATGGTGTTTTCTCACTTCAACAAAGATACGCATAGTCTGTTGCACGCCAAGCCTGTCTTTGGTGTCTCTCACACTTGGGGTTCATAACTAAACACATACTTATGGTCTCTTGAGTTTGGGGGTGTTTGGTAACAAGAATAAGGTCCTAGGCACCAATAAAAAGTTGACACCTCATTAAAAAAGTGTCCTTCAGCATCATGTTCCAAACCTCCCTCATTAGAATCTTGAATCCTGCTGACCTTTCTTCTCCACCAAGGTTTCAGAACCCTCCACCTAGGTTCCAGAACCTTCATGATTACTTCCTTCTCTTGGATCTTATTCTCTCTTCCAATTCAAGTATCATTTTTCAGGGCACAATCTCAACACTAAATTTAATAAATACTTAAATAGTCTATTAATTATGACATTTTATCTATTTTGTCTATTAACTATTTTTTGTATCTAACTAGTCTACTATCTTTTAAAAGTTCCAACAAAATTTCACTTGGCCCCATGTAAGCTGCCACATGGATGTTACATAGATAGAAAAGGTGTCCTTCTATCTGTAAGCTTTTTAGGCTGTTCAATCAAGTCCTGGAATTTTCATTTTTTAAAACTAATGGCCAGAACCAGGGAAGAAACTTTTTACCCTCATGTTATTAACTAATTTATTACATAATTTATCATATCTTAATCTAGACTGTAATGTGTTATATTTATTTGGTAAATTAATTGAGATTAAAACTTCGATTTCAAATTAAATTTGATTATAAAAAAAATTGAATTTACATAAAATGATTTCAAATTAAATTACTTAACAGATCATAAATTAAAAAAAAAGATTAAATATCATCTTCTTCGTTTGAATAAGACTAACAAAACAAACTCAATATATTCATTTCTTTCCTCTCTTCCTCCCATCCCTTCTCCTTTACTTTCTCCAAGAAGCTTGGCAATCCGTGGTGGTTCACATTAGAGTCCTAATATGACTGGACTCCACAGACCTGGGTCTTTTTGATCTGAAACTTCTGTTTCCTTCCAATTTACTAATCTACATTATCCTGAGGTTACTCATAAGGCTGCTTCTCACATTCTTCTCCAAATTCAGATATGTTTATGTTCAAACACTGATTGTATTGGAGAGGTGGTCCATTGGGGAAACTCTTGGGTTTTCTAAAGAACCTTGGGTGGGTTCTTACTAAAGAACCTAGATTGGGTTCTCGATTGAGAAAAGAACTCTCAACAGATGGAGAACAAATGAAGGAGGAAAAGGAGGAAGAAACGGGGGAGGATGATGGAGGAAGGTGAGAGGAAGGAGGATTGAGGAAGACATAGATTGTAGTTTTTTCATTTAAATGTAGGGTTACTTGTTAGACCAATGTGATACAATTTTAGAAATTAGTAGACTAGTTAGATGCAAAAAATAGTTAATAGTCAAAATAGGCAAGAAGTCAATAGTTGATGGATGATTTATTGAATTCAGCCTTTAGGGGTAAAAGATCTTACTTGGTTGGCTCTCTTTTTTTATACAGTCCAGTACAGTCTGGGTTTGCTCTTCTTTTCTGTAGCCTTTATTAAACTTTTCAAGTTGTCCATAACCTTTTTCATCTCCCTTTCTTTTTCCTTTTTTTTTTTTTCCCCCCAATGAAGCAGTCCTCGGCTGTTTCTTGTTATTTGGGAAGAGGATGACTACATGCATTTGTTGTAGTTGGGTTATTGACATTAGTAGTTAATATGGAAGGGAACACTAAGAATCAGGAAAATTTGGAAAATCTATAATTTTAGTTATTTACTTTTTAAATATTTACTTTCTTTTCTTTCCTATGTTTTTGGTATGTCTACAGATAATCATGTCTCTCCATTGCAGTACTTTTCAGTCTTGTAGCTAAGTCAATATGGCATTTCTTATTATTAGACAAAGAAATGGAGCTTAAAGAAAACCGAATCTATTAGAACTTTTAAATGTTGGTTAGGAGCAGAATGATTTGCCTTGGTCAACCCCGTGAGTTATTTTGGAGTACAGCTTGATCTTCTTCGATGAAAGGTCTCAGTTATAAATCAATCTGTTTTCTATTTTTTTCCCCATACTTAGCCTTTATATATATATATATATATTTTCTTCCTCTATATAAGTTTGCAATTATAGAACTATTATGGTGCTTTTCCTCTGTTTTGCAAGATGCTACAATACTTATGATCCTATGGTTCCACTGTTATTGACACTGCTTATTGTAAGCTTTGCAGGTATCCTACATTCTTTGATGATATTGCAGCACGTTTGCTTCCAGTCATCCCCCTAATTGTCTATAGACTTATTGAGAATGATGCTATAGATCCAGCTGACAGAGTTCTGGCACTTTATTCCTCATTTCTAGCATACCACCCTTTAAGATTTACATTTGTTCGTGATATACTTGCATACTTTTATGGTCATCTTCCAGGGAAGCTTATAATGCGAATATTGAAAGTTCTTGATATCAGCAAGGTAACTATATATTCCTCCTCCTTAGTTATCCCCCTTTACTGTAGTTCCTTTTTTGTTTTATAGAATTGTTTTTACCTTCTTGAACTAACTTGCTTCTCAATTGTTTTAGATCCCATTTTCAGAGTCTTTCCCACAGCACATCAGTTCGTCAAATCCAGCAATTTGCCCACCTCCAGAGTATTTTGCAACTCTTTTGTTGGGACTTGTAAATAATGTAATACCTCCATTAAATAGCAACTCAAAATCTGGTTCAATGGGAGATTCTTCAAATAATTCAATGCGTGGCCCTCATAGCAAAACTCCTTCAACTTCTCAGGCTGGGCCAGCAAATGCTTCTGAGGGTCAAAAGGCATTCTATCAAATTCAAGACCCTGGAACATATACCCAACTAGTTCTTGAAACTGCTGTTATCGAGATACTTTCTCTTCCTGTGTCTATTTCTCAGACTGTGTCATCACTAGTTCAAATTATTGTTAACATACAGCCAACTCTGATTCAATCTAGTAATGGCCTACATGGAGCTTCAAATAGTGTTGGGCAGGGTTCAGTTCTTCCAACATCCCCATCAGGGGGTAGCACAGATTCCTTAAGTGCAAGCAGATCAAATGCTTCAGCTTCAGGGATCAATACTTCTAGTTTTGTTTCAAGAAGTGGTTATACATGTCAACAACTATCGTGCTTATTAATCCAAGCTTGTGGTTTGCTATTGGCCCAACTCCCACCTGAGTTTCATTCACAACTTTATTTTGAGGCATCTAGTGTAATAAAAGAAAGTTGGTGGCTCACTGATGGGAAAAGGTCACTGGGTGAACTGGACTCTGCTGTTGGTTATGTTTTGTTGGATCCAACATGGGCTTCCCAGGATAATACCTCAACAGCCATTGGTATGGTATTTTTTATAGCAGTTCGTCTTACTAATGCTCTGGTGTTCTTAATCTTGGGATTTAGTATTAATCCAATTATCATCTGCTACTACCTAGTTGAACCTAAAGCCATTAAATTTGCTAAATTTGGTTCATAAACTATTTTTCAAAATTACAGAATACAAAGAGTTGATGTTTCAGGGAGGTTTTAATAATTTAATTGTTTCAAGGATTGGACAGGATACTGAACTTGAACCACTTGTAATTTGAAGCCAGTGAAAATACTAATTTGTTGCAGGTATTAATTATTTTCTACTAATATCCATACCAATGGAGAATCAAACTGCTTGAGCAAAAGAAAGATTTTATCATGTCTGATAAGTTTGAACTTGTTCTTGATGTCAAATGCACTACCCCTCTACTGCTTGTATTCCCACCTTCCATTTTTTCATTGCATGCATGGAGAATATATTCTATGGTAAAGCAAGATTGAGCCTGAAACCTCAACTTCCAGCCATCAGCATGCATTACACTACTGTGCTACCATGTGTCACACCTCTTGTGGTCACATTTAGTGATCTATCCAAAGGACAAAGAAAAGGATAGACATGATATTTATCTTCACTGGATTTTGAACTGATGATAAATATCTTCATTATGATGCATCTTTTTATTTTCATGATTCTCTAATGACTATATTTTTTAACATCTAGTCAATCTCTGAAGCTCACTTTTTGTGCAAGCCTTCCTCTTTCAGAAAACTTATATATGCCATGCATTAAGTACTTGTATATTCAATATTGACTTGAATTCTAATGTGCTTTTATAATTCCTATATCCAGGAAACATAGTTGCACTGCTTCACTCTTTCTTTAGTAACCTCCCTCAGGAATGGCTAGATGGGACACATGTCATCATTAAACATCTCAGGCCAGTCACATCAGTTGCAATGTTGAGAATAGCATTCCGTATAATGGGTCCACTGCTCCCAAGACTCTCCAATGCTCACAATCTTTTCAACAAGGTAAAGAAATTACCTCTTGCTGTCTTGTTGAATGCTTTCTTGATTGCTTGTGGTTAATCTAAAATTATTCATCAAGAAAAATATCAAACTACATTTTTTTTTTATTCTGCTACTGTGAAAATAAGCTAGTTATGGATTTAGGCATTCCTCTGGTGCAGGATTGATTTCAGTTGAATGAAAGGTTTAATGAACTACTCTGGGCCCATACATTGAGTAAAAAAGTCAACTTTCACTCCATCTTATAGGTTTTGCATTGGCACAAGCAATTTTAAATCTGTGAGCTTATTCCTGTTAGGGAAATTACTATTTTGAGTCTACTAATTTGCTTACTTGTATGGGCATTTGTGCAATGAAGCCATGACCTCAAACTAGTTTAATCTGCTACATAAATCATCTTTATCATAGTGGTGACCACCAATCAGGTTCTAAAACTGGTATAATCCTTCATCTAACCTAGTGCAATGGAGGGTTTAACTGATTTCATTTTAGTTAGATTGTCATTTGAAAAGAGAAATTTTCAATGTACAAAGAGAAGAAACTAAACCTGAGAATCCTAGGCATTGGAACCCTTTTGAGATGGATTCTAGTCAGATCAGTGTTGCTGAAAGCCCAAAGAAAACCAAAGTGCAATTCTAGTGCTTGCTTCAGTTGAAGCAACGTGCAAATTGAAAGCCACTGTGAAGCGCCCTTAATTTGCACTTTTCCCATAAGTCCACTTAATTTTGCTTTTTGACTTTTCTGTTATTATTAAGTTTTAAAGATAAAAAAAAGTAAATATTTGACCTTTATAATTGATCTTCTAAAAGATAACTTGGATATGAAAAGGGAAAGTCTCTTCTAGGGATTATTTATTTATTTATGTATTTATTTATTTTTTGACAAGGAGACCAATTAGATTTAACTTTAGAAGCAAAGTGTTAGGAGGGGTTAGCTATATATATAACTGTCGTCTTTTTCTAATGATAAAGAATTTGGGTAGTTAGTAGTCTCTTGTTGAAGACATCAGATGTGTTGTTGATTATGGATCCTCCCAGTACCTCTAGGGATCCTTTTACATCAACAAGTGATAATAACTGGACCACTTTCACACCCTTGACTAGTGGTCTAGGACTTTTAGAGGGTTTTTCTTAGGATTTGGTAGATTGGATTTGATTTAGTTTCCTAGTTTATTTAAGATTTGATATTTTCCTTTAAGGATCCCGGTAGGAGCACTATTAGGGTTTGAATCTCTCTATATCAATGCTAGTATATGTTCGGGTTTGGCAGTTGAAGATGAATTGAGATTATTTACTTCCATAAACCTAATTCTGTTATTCTCTCATTTTTGCTTCTATTTTCTCTCCTGCTTCTAAATCACTGTACTTATGGTACAACAGTATGATTTGAATCTGTCTTAGCATTGTCAAGGAAGATAAAGTAGAATTTTGCTGAAACTATGTCTAAGATATCAACCCATGTCGAAATCATCAAGCAGAAATTTCACCCTCAATACTGCTATAGAATGAGAGTCCCCCTGATAAGATTTTTTTTTTTTCTGTACATGCAAAATTTAACTAATTAAATGCAAATGAAGTGTGAAGTCATGATATATGGATGCATAACCAATTTTAAGTTTTAATCTGTAAAATTCTGGATTAAACACCTGATAACAAATGATTTAGTTTCTTAAACCTAAATTCTCATGAACTTTCTTCCAGATTCTGTCATTGCTTTTGAATATGATGGTGGATGTATTTGGGAAAAACTCACAGCCACCAGTTCCGGTGGAAGCATCAGAAATTGCTGATCTCATTGACTTCCTGTAAGTATTAGTATTATTAGATCCTGTCTTTAAGCAGCAGGTCTAAGCTGTCATTTTGCAGTTTTGTTATTGTTCTAAGAAGTGTATTATACCTTGTGTTCTTCAGTCATCACATCATTCACTACGAAGGGCAAGGAGGACCCGTGCAGGCTACCAGCAAGCCTCGACCAGAGGTTTTGGCTCTTTGCAGTAAAGTGGCAGAAAGTCTACGACCTGATGTTCAGCATCTTCTATCCCACTTGAAACCTGATATAAACTCATCAATATATGCTGCCACCCACCCGAAGCTGGTTCAAAATCCATGATTGACACTAGTAAAACTGGTCCACATGCTTCCCAAGTTGGGCAGGCTTGGGAGTCAAGATGCTTTTAGCCAACAAGCTTTTTCATCTGGGTTCATAAACCATGAATTCTTTGCATTTTTATGACATTGTGCTTTGCACCATGGTTAAAGCAGTAGAGGCACTGTGGCTTTTTAGTTTTAGGTCAAATTAACAGAGAAAATCATAAACACTCTTCTAAATGACGTTCAGAACATGAACTGATGTTTTATTAGGTACACCAAAATACATTCTGAAATATAAAGTGTATACGTGTGTAGGTTTGTTTAAACATTAAATTTCTTTTAGATGCATTCCTTTCGTTACCAGCTACACTCTTGAATATGAGGCAGCATTACAATTTATTACAAAAAGTTGTCACACATTAAAATTTGGCGCATTTGCATGATGCGGATGACATAAAGTGATTGCTTGGTTTGGTAGATGTAAAGCTAGAACAGAAGGCAGATAATGACTGTTTTTATTATCATAATTTACGAATTTCAGTAAGAGGATGGGGACAATCTGGGCGGACCTGGGAATTAGTAGTAGGAAAAGCAAGAAGATGAAATGGCCATCAAATCTCTCCGGAGACTAGGGTTCTGTATGACGTGGTTCTTAGTGCTTGGGCAAGTGTTTTCACCACGGTGGTCGTACTCTTCTCTTTGGTTTTAGCTGGTGTAGGGTGTGGGTATTATGGGCTCAACGTAAGTCAACAGAGACAAGAACGAGTTGCAACGTTTGTAAGCGGAGACAATAGGTGGTGGACCCTCGCAGTATCTGTCGCTGCTAGCGACTGTACGTTGTGGTTGGGGTGGGTTTGGCGGTGGTTTCTTTTTTTTTTTCTTTTCGGCGACTGGGTGAGGCTGGCTGATATAAGCGACTGATATTACTATTGAAGGGTCCATGGCTGATGAAATTGAAGAACTATGGCCCAAGATCAACTCAACGGGGGGAGAAAGGAAGGGACCCAAGCACACTGAACTACGGCTTGGTAGTGTTCTGTGAGACTACATGTGGCGGGCAGCTTAAGACCCTCGAGATCGAGGTTTTAAAAAGGATGGCAATTTCCTTCATGTTTCATGGGACTCTACAAGAATGAAAATTCTTAGAATATTAATCTCGATGGTATGATGGGGGTAATTTTTTCTCTATAAAATGTTGCAGGGAATTTTTTTTACCTTAGGGGGACCTACAGGAATCCATATAGAAAAAACTTAAATTTTATATTTTATAAAATATATACTAATAAACCCAATTACCAAAATAGCATTAATGTTATTTAGTTGGCTGCATTATCAATATCAATTCTATTTAAATGGTGAGATGTCTTATGTAGAATCTTTACCTTTAGTGTAAAATTTGGATTAGTCTACTTATTTATTTGAAATTAGTGCTTTTAATTTTTAAAACAATCCTAGAATGTTTGAGATATTCTAGAATGAGTATACTAAGTGCTAATAAAGCATGGCTCTTTTTAAGAGTAGAAACAAGATTTCGTGTGTGAGAAGAAATTCAAAGCGAATCAATTGAGATATAGGTGGGTTTTCATTTTATTAGTCTTTGATATGCTATTTCTATGCTTCTATTCCTTTTTCCTATTAAATTTGTAATGCAATGGCTTCATAAAATTAATTTTATATGACATTCTAATTTAATTATTTGTTTTCTTCTTAGATGATAAATTTCTAGTTCACAAGAACCAACCCTCCACTGATTTAAATTCTAAATGAAAATTTTAGTTTACTTTGACAAGGATTCTCTATAATCACGAGACCCTTCATTCCTCATGGGGAAAGAGACCAAAGGGCTTTTTTTGGCCCCAATAAAAATTTTATTCCCTACGAGGACAGAGATAGGGAAGGTGTCCTTAATCCTACAGGAACATGTTGTCATCTGTAGTTTCAAGGTTATAGGTGGATTTGCAAAGAGGCCATGGTTGAGGATTTTGTGAAAAATCGTGATGGATGGATTGGTTTTGTTTTTGAATGGATTGGGAATGCTACTCTCGCTAGTAAATATTGGATGGGAGGTCAAATTCGAATCTCCATCCTTCATGCTAATTTGGAAGCCATGGATGAAGCTGTTATGGTGTTGAGTATACTGTGACATGTAACTAATTAATGCTCAAGAAGCAAATGATAGCTAGTGTTGCTAATTTCTTTAATGTTTGTCCTTTACTAATTGTATCTATTATTTGAAATATTTTATATCTTAGAGGATTTATCAACTATAACATATGAAAATTATAGGCTACTAAGGTGCCTTTGTAAGGGGTTAGAGAATGCTTTGTAATGGTTTTAGGAGGGTAGGGCACTTTGGGATGCAAAAAAGCTATTATCCACCGGCCTCCTAACCTAAAGCGACACTAAGTTTGGACCGTAGGAAACCATAGCATGGGGAATGTCTAGTCCTTTTGCCCAGAAACCAACTCACTTGGCAAGACATTCTTTTTATTTGTGATTATATTTTATAAAAAAATATCAGTAAATTCCTTTAGTGTTAGCTCTAAGAAGATTTAGCTTTTATCTTCTCTTTTTTTGCAAAATAATAATAATAATAATAAAATTTTCAATTCTCCTCACTTTGGGCAACAAAAAGAGATCTCACTTGAAAGAATTTCTCTCTCCTTTCTTTTTGGGTGGCCTAGGTCAACAATGAAGTGATAATCATAAAGCTGATCCACAAAGGTCTTATGAATTTGACAAAGCCTTTGTTAGAAGGATTATTAGGAGAAAATATTTGCAAGAAAAGAGAAGGCATGAGTTTAAATCCTATTTTCAAAAATTACACTTGATGTAACCTCAACTCAATGCTTGGTAGTTGTTGGGAATGGGTCCAATTCCCACATTAGGCCATGCACAGTAGGCCCACTGTACATGTTTGAGAGTCCAAGATAACCCCAAATATGGATGCCTTACCTAGATGCACCCACATGGGTAATGACACGTGGGTTCATTGTGTGTTTACATGTGGGACCTAATATTATCAATGGGGGGCTATAAATACCCCCACCTACCTCCATTCAAGGTATTAATTCCATCACGCTTCTCTCTCTTATTATTCTTATTCTTATTCTTGAGAACTCCTTTCTCTAAGAGTAGAATGTTGCTGACTTGAGCATTGAGGTGTTTTCCCAAGGAAACATCCTCGGGTATTTCAAGTGTAGAAACAATTGAAGATCTCTACAATGTAGGTTTGTGAAGCTGCTTAAACATTTGGCGTCGTTTGTGGGAAACTGAATAAGAAAGTTATACTACTCATAAGTGGAAAGCAACAATGGTACATACATTCACAAGGAACCATCCTCCTTAGGTGGATAGAATGAGCACTCCTAACAACACTTAACCTCTAGAGTTCAATATGGATGAATTCCAACCAATGCCAGATAACCTGTTCGTTGAGGGAGCAAAAGGAGAGTTGTATGATAGTTCTGATGACAAATGAACACCTATTGGGTATGTCTCAACCTAGAGAACAATGCCGAGTCCCAAGAGAGACTTGGTTCAAATATCTTGCTCGTAAAACAACTAGATCAAAAAGGGATGCAAGATTAACTCGGATGTCAAAATTGGAAGAAAGAACTATGATCTTAGAAATGGTGATGGCGAGGACCTTTTCTCATCTAATTCTTGAGGATCTGTTGATCCCTTTGTTGAATAGAGGTGGGCGACCCGAGGGGAATTTTGCTCAAAACTCCCCTACTTTAAGTAATGTGGTAATGCCAACAAAACCTAGAAGAAGTGGGAAGCTAACCCCAAACCTAGTTCATCCAAACTTAATGAAGAGTTATTAAAGAAAAACATT